CAATTTGTTACATCCAGCCAGAGAGCCATAGAAACCACCATAACAAGCTTAAATGATTTCAGCATCACTACATCATCCAGCCCCAGCCAATCTTCCTCAGAGCTGGGGTTGCCTATCCTGCATGGTTCCCCTTCCTGAAGCTGACGCTGCTCCCGCAGCCCATCCTGTTGCTGCATCCAGGCTTCTAGTCAATGCTTTGTGAGACATGGGGGACCCCTTTCCACCTTCCCACTGCTTGTCTCACTCCCCTCCATCCTCCCAAATCCCTATTTTAAGACAAGAAGCTCCAAGCATCTCACAAACCCTCCCGGTGGGCTCCTCTGGCTGCCAGCAGCACGGGTGCCTGTTGATGGTTACCACCTCGCCCTGGGTAAATCAAGGCTTCGGTTTTCAAAATAGCGTGTTGATTGAAGCTTAAAATATCCCCAGCAATTACTTCGCCCCGGTATAATTATAATAATTAAACTTGGATAATGCTTAGTCCTACTTTCTATCAGAACTGTGTGCTGCGGCACCAGTGTGTGGTGTTTTGTTCCCCAGCCTCATTTTCCAGCCTCGCCCCGCCGAGCAGCGCTGGAAGGGACATGAGCTGGCAGTCTCCAGTGCTGACAAGGGGACAGTGGCCCTGTCACAACCTCTCCAGCCCTGGGCACCACTCGTGGCACCGTTTAACCCAGGGCATGGTGTGTGGTGGCCGTGCCCTCACTGCACAGTGGGACCAGCACAGGAGGGGATGCTCCTGGCTCCATGCTGGGGCAATGGGTGCTGGAGGGAGTAAGGATGCTGGTTCCTCCCTTTGGCTGCTTGCCTCGTCCCACCCCAATCCCTCTCCCACAGCTCAGCACAATATTTCTCCTCCACGCTCCCAGCAGCGTCGCTTGGAACAGCTCAGGCTGGTGAGTACGTTTCCGGCTGTGATAAATAGCAGGGAAAGGAATGAGAACCTAACACTGTATTTCATGCCCTGAAATCCCACTTGCATCTGGAAATGAACAGAGTTCTCCGGTTGATATATGCAGCTCTGAGGCCATTCGCATCCTGTTCGCTTGTACACATTGTCTCGGTGATTTAAGCTGGCAATTTGGCCCTAAAATGAAGAGCAGCTCACTTTGTCCCTCCCAATTTTTCTATATATTTTCCTGCAGAATGGAGCTCTTGGAGATTGGCTGGGCTGGGGCTGGGCATCCTCTCTGGTCTGGCACGGAGAGCTGTGGAGGGTGCTGGCACTGCGGGAAGGCTGCCTGGGAATGCAAGTGGCAGGTGGCTGTGCTGCTCTCTGTCATCCCAGGCCATCCCTCTTCAAAGCCAGCAGGGACACCAATGAAAGCTTTTCCCCCTTTTTCCAGGTCAGATGGCATTGTGAGGATGGCAGCCACGCTGTCCCACAGTGCCCTGGGGAAGGGGGATGCTGTGGGACCAAGGGGGGCTATGGGAGCTGTCCCTGATGCCTGGCAAGAGCCCTCCTTGTGCTGCCCAGTCCCCACATCCGTCTGTCCATCTGTCTGTCCATCTGCTGAGCAGCAGTGCAGGGCCAGCCTGAGTGTGACCCATCATCACCTGCTCCACACCCAACGTGCAAACCAGAGCCACCACTTACCTGCTCACGGCCAGGACTCCTCCTTGGGTAAAAGATGGAGCTGGATGAAGTGATTTCACAGCAGAGCCGTTTGTTTAAGGCATCTTTAGTGATGCTTAATTAACTCCCCAACGGGCCTGCTCAATGGCTTCTCTCTTCCAAGCAGCTGTCCCAAGGCCCACAGGGTCCCCTCAAAGACCTGGGGGACACTGGGTGAGCTTGGGGACCTGGCACCCTCCTGCCTACGCCACAGGGTGTGGAGGTGGCACTGCTGTGGTGGAGATTCCAAGGGGATGCACAAGACCCTCTTCTCAGGATCAAGGCAGGGCGATTTTCCTGCTGCTCACCCGAGATGTGCACAGCTGGGAATAGGGAAATTTCCACAGGAAATCCTTGCTGAGACATGGATCCCCCTGGAGACCAAACCAACCCCGTCCCCTCCCCAGGGACCGCGCGCGGAGGAACCCAGTGACCAGCGGCTGCGCGGTTCTCATATCAGTTTTAATAGCAACATCAGAGTACTAAATATACAGAGGGCAAGGGGACAGGGTGGCATTTACAGTGCTTCCAAATACACGGCTTCCACGGACAGAGACAAATTAAAAACCGCTCGGGAAGAAAAAAAGGTCCTTTTGGCACTGCCCCAGCTCGCGGGTTGGGCAGCCACAGTGCCAAAAGGCGACGGCGCTTCCACCGGGTGCCTCCTGGTGCAGGATTTTCCCAGGAAAAGAAAGAAGTACTCAGTGATGTAAAACCGGTTACAAAGTAAAACTGTCTCATGTTAGAAAACGGGTTTTGGCAAAATAAAAATAAAGTGTAAACTTCACTGTACATGTCCTATCAAACAAAAAAATAAACCCCTCGGAACCTAAAATAGAAGAATCTGGGTCAGAAATCTGTGCCCTTAGTGTACATTTTTGTGCAACATATACTTTTTTCAAAGTAAATATTATCTTCACTCGTGACACTATTAAAAATGTACCTACAAATGCTGAGAGTAATTCTTAAAAATGTGTGAGAAGCGTTAGATGAGCTCGGGAGACCAAACCCACAGACTTGGAAATGGCAAGGGATTTCTTGCTGGTTTTGAAAAAATCGCGTACAGATTTAATATCTGGTTGAACGAAAATTCCAACCACATTCATCCTGAAATGGGTGGGCTGAGATAGGATAGATATATTTTTTGTTCTATTTTATTTTTTTTTTAATTTTTTTTTTTACAAAATATATATTATGTGTAGAATATCTACTATTTTTTAACTACCGTTTCAGCCGAACTACCTTCCTTCGCAAACAAGCTGCCAGTGGAGAAGAGGTAACCTGAAATCCGTCCCCGCGCCAGCTCTGCCATCGCTACGGTGACCTCCTGGCAGGCTCGGTGTCCATGGTGTCCCATGGAGCACTGGTGTTCTCTGGAGCACGGCTCCTGCCACCACCACCGGCCGCCCTTTCTCCAGCTGGGAAGACAGAGTGAAGGTAAACGATCGGATCTGGAGAGACAGGCGGCTGAGAGCCCAGGGCCGGCTCTGCCCGGGGTGCTGTGGGGTGAAGCCGCCCTCGGGGCTTCCAGAGGTCAGGGGGTTGAGGAGCAAACCCTGCCCGCCCTACCTGTTGGTGCCATGATGTGGGAGCTCGGACCCGGAGCCCCAAATCTGCTCAGTTTGGTGCAGGATAAAGCCCACCGGTGCCGGTGGCAGCAGTGGAACCACCCCTGGCCCGGTGGGAGCGGCACAGCCTGTGGCTCCTGCTCAGGGTTTGCAAAGGATGTGGAGGGAGGAGAGTCCCAGACAGCCCTGGGAAGCCTGGGCTTGCTGCAGAGCCCAAGGAGAGCCAACCTCTCCTTGCCATGGGTGGTTTGTGCCACAGCACTTTCTCTAAGAAAGAGCCACAAGTGACACACATGACGTGTCTGGGGAATGTGGCAGCCAAGAAGCTGCCTTGGTGTGTTTCTCAGGGTCTGTTCAAGGGGCTAAGGAATCTGGAAAATGAACTGAAAACAAACAAGCAGCAGCGGGCTGAGGGCTTACAGCAAAGCAAGGAGCAAAACTTTTCTTTTTTCAAGCTTCCAGGACCTTGGGGTGAGACGATGTGCCCAAAACATGACAAAGCTCCCACAGGAGCGTGTCTGAGAACACCATGCTTCCCTGCCTTTCCACGGTGGGAAGATCTCAATAGACTAAGCCATGGAAATGTGACTTTCTATTCTCATTTCTTTCCTGTATTTTGGCTTTCATCAATAGGAGGGAATGAGATCAACACAGTTCATTTCTCTTCACTGTGCAAGACCTTGGGAAGCCTGGATCCTGCCTTGTCCATCACTGCATCAGCAGCTCCATCCCAGCCCTTCCTCCTCCTCCTCTCCCTCCACTGCAGTGGCCCAGCATGGATGGGGAGAGGCTTCCTCTGATAAAGTGCAAGTGCTGTTGGTCCTTATAAATAAGGGAAGATTGTGCATCTACTTTTGTTCCCTGGTTCACTGCTCAGCTCTGGGGAGACCAGGACATGTCCTGCTGCAGACTGTGGGGGGGAAGCTCATGCAAGTCCTGCCCTCTGAAACCCGTGCCCATCCTCGGGGTTGCAGTGATTCACCTTCCGTCTCCCTCTCTCTCTCTCTCTCACACACACACACACACACACACACACGTTTTCCCTTCCTCTTCCCCAGCTCCACAGGGAATTCCCTGTGAACCAGGTGCTTCTCCATCACCACTGCCATCATCACCATCACTGCTTGCACCAGTGCTGCCCTGGCATCTCCCAGCTCTGCCTGACAACTTCCCTGCGGGCAGCAGGTTCCATCCATGCAGAAACACAGAACGCTGCTGCAGGTGCCCTGCAATGAAGGAGCTGAGATATATTTCTTGTCACACTGCTACCGCGATTACACCGGAATACCTGTGGGAATGAAATAAATAGGAAGATTAAGGGGAGAAGCACAAGGAACATGGCTCAAAGCTGGCGTGGATGGATTCCCAAGAAGTCACAAAGGGAGGAGAACCTGTGGGCAAGGGCTGCACCACTGATCAGCATCACAGGAAAGCCCCAAGACACTGAGATGACCCTGGAGCAGTTGCTCAGACTCCACAGTTCCCAAGGACAGACACTCCCCACGTTCCCCAGGGACAGCTAAAGCTTTGGGGGCCACTGCTCTAGCAAGACACTGTCTCCTCTTCTCCCTGGAGGGATTCAACGCTCTGGAGAGCAGGACACGAGCCACCCAGGAGACACAGCTCTGCCCAGGGGATGCTTGGCTCAAGTCCGCAGGTAATTGTCAGGGCTGGCAAGGAAGACTTCTGTCTGAGGCAGCGTCCAAAAAATTCAGGACAAATAATCCAGACTGTGCAATTCCATGGGAAAAGGACAGAAAAGGACACGGGAACAAGAGACCGCACGCGTGGCTATGCGCAACACCACAGGGTTCTGCTTTGTTTTTTTTTTTTTTTTTGTTTGTTTTTAAACTGCACGTTCATTATCATAAAGAAAAGGAGCTGAGTAATCAGTGGGGGAGTAGAAACGTGGATCTGGACAATTCTAAAAAACCACTAGTATTTACCAAGGGCAGTTTACAAAAAAGAACTGGAGGACTTTGGTCTGATCTCTGCTGTCGTTTCCACCCTTTTAGCATTGAAGGGACCCGAGTGAGACCCATCCCAGTGTCTGATGTGCAGCACGGCATGGCAGCACCTGACTCCATGGAAAGACTTGGACAGAGGGTTGAGGGTCAGCACCCACGAACGCCACCCACCCCAGCAGGAGCTGGACAGGCGTGGACGTGTTTCTAGAGCAACACGCCAAACTGGAGCCTGCAGAATCGTGCTTCCCTGGCAAAAATTCCCTTTGAACACTATTAAGAGATCTCCAGGATTGTGGACAGCCGGCTGTGTCTTCTCCTGCTGCAGCAGAGCCAGCCAAGACCGGGAGAACAAAGGAAGAGGCTCTCTCAATCCCACAGCCCCAGGCTGGGGGAGGAGGACATGAGCTCCTTCCTCTGGTTTCTCACACAGGGCTGAGTAAACTTTGGTGCTTTGGCCAATTCAGAAGCCATTTTCCAAAAACCTTCCCACACCCCATTCCTAAATTTCTTCTGTGCCATGAGAGGCCCATCTCTTGGAAGTCCACCCTAAAATCTGCCCCGTCCAGCCCCGAGGTGTCATGCCTAGCACGGCAGAAATCACAGCACTGTGGAAACGGGGCAGGCTCAGGATTTCCAGCTTCTTCCCATCGACCTTGATGATGTCTTGGGATAGAGAAGCCTGGAAATACCTTCAGCACTGCCTTGAGCTGTGCTCTGGATGGTTTTGGGAAGCTTTTCCTCTGCTTCCCGCCGGCAGCACAGCCCCAGCTGTCTCCCACCACGGTCGCGTCGCTGGAAAAGCATTTCCAAAAAGAACCAAAATTATATATATATATGTATACATACATATATATGTCTATACATACACACACACGTATATATATGTATATATGTCTACCTACATATACACATATAGGTTGACAGGCAAGCTGCCAAAGTAGAAAACATCAGATCACCCAGTTTGCATGATGCGTGTTAAAGAAATGAGACTTTTAGCCCATGACATCTTCTTTAAAAATGAGTATTTAAGATCTTCAAAAATTGCTACAGTACAAAAAGTGTTTGTGTGTGTATATATATATATATATTTTCTCTCTACATATACCGTATGTATGGACTGGAATGGATGACCCCACCAGAAGAGATGCCCCACTTGTCCTCCACAACATTTCCAGGCGTTATTGTCTCAGCTCTTTGCAAAGTCTTTGCATCAGTTCATGGCACATAATGGTAATTATTGGCACAGGTTCAGAGTCACCGTCCATGGCCGGGCTCCAGGCGCTCATTCCTTCCTTTTCCATCCCTTTGCTGGTTCCTCCTCCTCTTCCTCCTCCTCCTCCTCCACGGGATTCTTTACTCGCACACTTTCCTTTCTCTCCTCCCAAAAACGTGCTCCTTGACAACGCAGTTACCTATAGGCGCGTTCATTTTTATAAAAATATATTTGGCCCATAGAACGCTGCTCTTTGAGTCTCCTACTGGTAAACAGAAATGGTAGGTACAGGTAACCCATTATTTTTTTTATATTTTTTACAGGTTCACCAATGGAATCCTGTTGAGGACGAGAAGAAAAAGAAAGATTAGGTCACGACAGGGGATTTGCACCAAGTCTTGCATCACTGCTCGGATGATCTCTCACAGCCTAGAGGTTTCCTCCTCCTTCCCCCTTGGCTGTGGAGCTGTGGGATTCCTGGGGGTATCAGTGACCTCCTCCTCCTCCTTCTCTGCAGCTTCTGGTCTGTGCTGGGGATTGAGACCACTACTTCTCTCTCCTCAGGGCCTTTTCCAGAGTGGGATTTACTCCAGATCATCCCTGCATTCTGCAGCTTCTCACACTCGGGCCTCGAGCAGCGAGTGCTCTGGCAGACGAGCAGATGATGACAAGCACTAACGAGATTTTCTAAAGTTAAATCTAAAGAATCAATAGGGAATTGGTTAAGCACCAAACCAGAGATCCTATCAAAGTCCTTAAGCTATTTATTTACCATCTACTGGAAGATGCCTTCCTATGAAATTTTGGACCCTCAATGTGAAGACAATCACTCCCCATCACTGGCGTGTGGCCACTTGCTCTATATGTCCATGACATTTAATGAGCTGTAGCACAGCTGGGTGTGCCAAAGACAGCTGCCAGCAGGTCTCTGGTGTACCTACACCCTGTACAGCCATGCCCAGGATACACATTCCTAGCCCACACATCCCTAATCTGTGCCCTCTGCCTGGCTGGGATCAGCATCCACAATGTGCTGTGCTTTTTGTTCCAGGATTCTTTCTCTAAAAAAACCGCTATTTTAAAGCAAGATGCCCAATTCACCATCTCCAAGAACAACCCCGAAGTCTTAATTAGCGAGACAGATTTTCCAGAGTCCTTAATCTCCTGTGCTGGGGCTGTGCTGGGACTGCTGCTACTCCTCCAAAGACAAGCTGGGATCTTTTATGATGACTCATTATCTGTTAATGTTAACACAAACCATTTGCTGTTGTTAGGCAGAACGGGGCCAGCAGCAGCTGCTGCCGTGTTCCAGCGTGGCTTTTCCACACACTGCTGTCAGCTCTGTGCCAGGGCAGGGTCAGGCTGGTGTCACCAAACCAGCACAGCTGCTGCCCCAAAGTGTCCCCTGCCTGCCAGAGGTGCCCAGCGTCCCGTGGCTCCTGGTGGGCACTGGTTAATGCACAACAGCAGGGTGTACAATTGGTATTGTATCCCAAATAGCCTCTTTGTGCAAAGTAGGTCAGCGCTTGATCAACCTTACAGATTTTTGTATAATCTCATTCCATGGGGTTTTTCAGTCAAAGAGAGCGGGATTAAGGACAAGAATAATGCGGGATCTCAAACTTCATTTCAGAAAGCCCCAAAGCCAGGATGAAATCAAGCCAAACCAGCCATCCCGTGCTGTGGTGCCTGGACAAAGCCACTCAAGTCTTTGGCACATGTCCTGTGCTGGTCTGCAGAGCGGTGCTGCTCCTGCCTCTGTCTGGGTGCTCCTCCAGCACCACTGGCACCAGGCAAGAGAAGTTTTCCTTTTCATCCCTCCCTTCAGGTAACTCCTGAGAGCTTCCTCACCTAGCCAGCCCGGGGCTGCACTGAGGCTGCACTGCTGCAGACAGACTGACTTCTCCGCCTGCAGGAGCAGCTGCTGCTGAGCTGTGGCATCTACCAAGGAGCTGGTGCTCCAGCGGGGCCCAGAAGCCAGCACAGGCAATCTGCTGGAAAGCTCCACCAGCTGCTTGCCAGGGGCAGCACTGCCTGCTGTGGGCAGGGATGGTGCCCTGACAGGGACCATGCCTGCAGCACAGGAACCCTCCCCGTGGCTCCTGCTGGCACAGGAGGAATCCGACCCCAGGAAACAGCTTCAACATCTGCTCCCTGTGTACCTGGATGAGTTTTACCAGGTTTCCTGACACAAACGTGGCGCTGCCTGCAGCTCTCTGGGCTGGAGATGCTCTGCAGTGCTGTCCCTTATATCTGCTGCCTCAACTGCTCAGCCCAGCCTGATGATGCTGTAGGCATCACCCAAGGCCAGGGTGACAGCTGGGCAGCGCTGTGGTCAGTCCTCACACCAGGCTCACAGAGTGTCAGATGTGAAGTTCACATTAAATTCCAACTTGGCACCCAGTGGTCATCTCCACAAAACCTCTGCAGCACCCCTGTCCTGCCATCCCTGTCATGGGACATGGGACATCACCTGCATCACCTGCCTTGTGCTTCCAGCTCTGGCCCCACACCATCAGAAGCACCAATGTGCACACAAGACAGCTCAGAGCTGTGAAATGCTGTCAATTAAAATGTGTAAAACACCAGGAGAAAGGGGGTGTGAGGAGAAAGCTGCACGTGGCCGCCCCTCCAGCCAGAAAGCTGCACATGCTCCAGATCATCCTCCTCCTCTGCTGTGGTGCAGTGGGTCAACAGCAACTGTCCCCTTCAGGTGACCTTGCTGCAGCTGTGGATGCCAGCCAGGAAATACTCATTCCCCCGGAAACGGTGCAGCCCAAGCAGCTGCATCCCCTTCTCCACCAGCCTCTCCCCTAGAAACAAGAGCTGGAGAGGCATCCTCCATGCCCCCACTCCTCTGCTTCCCTCCATCCCACTGCTCCTATGGTGCTTGGCAGCTGGTGACAGCACAAGGCAACCGCGGTGGCAGGGACAGCCTGGCAGGGACAGCCTAGCAGGGAGCTCATCTCCGTGCCATCTGCACCTCACACAGTGACACATGAAAACTTGGAATGCTCATTTCACCTGAGGGATTTCCCAACAGCACCTGGTTTCAGCTGGGACACGCCACTTATGCAAGTGTGCCCCAGAAACACGCTGGTGCAAACACACCTGTGCAGAGTAAACATGCAGGGAACAGGTAGAACAGGTTTGGGGATCAATCTCATTTTGTTATCCTTAATGAAACCAAACAGCAGCTTCCAGAATTGCGTCTGTAATTGAAGTGCCATTACAGAGCTAATGCTCCAGGTACGAGCCCGATAGATTTTTCCAGAGCACGTCAATGTGCGTTTCGTGGATTCCATGAAAACGGATCAATGAGAATTTCAAGGATTTAATAAGGCGTAATGGAATGGCTTCAGGCTATTTAAAGAAATCTATGCAGCTGACCAGGGCATAGTTTTGGCCTGGGGTTTCACAAGACCTGGGGCAGGAGCAGTGGGATCCACACAGGATTCCTACAGTGCTTCAAGCTGCTCCTTCCTTCCCCCTACCCAAGGCATGGAGAGCTGTAGATGGCATTGAGTGTAGCTGTGTTATTTCTTTTCAATTCACTTTAAGCCAATGGAAAGACTTCCCAAACTACAAAACTGAGGATGGAAAAGGCCCAGTGGGTTATTGCTGAGGCTGGTGTTCCCTGCAGATCCTCCATGCTCATTCTCCTGCTGTCCTCACTCCTGGCACCAGCTCCTGCCTGGATTCCTTTGCCCTCTGCTCCCTGAGACAATGGCCACAACAATAGAGGCAGAGAAAAAACATGACCATATCAGCAGATGGGGAGTGAGAACCTCTCACCTTCACCAGTGAAGCTGCTGCAGCCAGAAGAGGCTCTGGGGGGGCAGTGGGGCCATGCCAGGTGAATCCCTGCTCTCTGTGCCCCACTGTGCTGGCACACACCTCACCTGCCCTGTCTAGACACCACAGCCCCAGCACGGCCAAGATCATTAACTTTTTATTCCCTTCCATTCTAATCTAATTATATTTCTGTGTTCAATAGCTGTGCATAATGTTAAACAGGCTATTCCAAGCGAGCTGCAGCCAGGGAAGGCTGGAAATTTCATTTACACTGAATATATGATTCATTACAGCAGGGACTTGGGACAGAGCAATTAATTCACCTGAGCACGTGGCTCAAGTGGGCACCACTGCCCAGGGCGAGCTGGCACACACAGACTTTTCCTGCCACTGCCATCAGCTGTGCCACCTTCAAAAGTGACACAAGGAGGTGAAAACGGCTCAGGGCAACTCAACAAAAGAGAAGGAAATCCCCAAAGATTGTACTGTTGCAACCTGAACATCACTGCACTCCTTCAGTCACAGCAACACCCCAGGTGTGACTGGCTGATGGGGACTGTGCTCGAAGGGTTGGCCTTGCAGAGCAGCAGGAGGAGGAGGAGGAGGAGAAGGAGGAGGAAGAGGAGGACCCCAGCACCCTTGCAGTGAGCATGGAAGTGTTCATGACAGCCAACATCACCAAATGAGCTTTCAGATACTGGTGGAGCGTGCACGCTCCGACGAGGCGGGCTGTCCATCATGCCACCGGAGGTTAATTACAGATCAGGCCATTTCCCAGCACGGAAATTACTGTGGCTTGCTGAGGTTTCAGAGGTGGGCTGGAACCATGGGATCAGGCTGAACTTCAAGGCTGCCCCAGGCACCCTTTGCTTTTGAGTCTTTGTCCATCCCAGTCCCTCCCTGTTAGTGTTGGCCTGTCCGCAATTAACCTCCCTGGAAAAGAGAGCTTTGTTTGGCTCCCAATGCCCCATCCAGGCATGGAATTCCAGTCACACTGAAGGAAGTGCAGGGGGGAGGATGGCACCGGGCAGGGTGCGATGGGCACAGCAGGGGCACAGGATGGGTGCGGGATGGATGCGGGGAGCGCGGTACGTACCAGGAAACAGCCCGCTGGCGTCTGCCCTGCGCCCAGAAGTCAAACAGGCTTCGGCCAGTCAGCAGGAGATTTCAAACCATTTCTCAGACACAAAGGCCACGGGAATAAGATGCCGGTCAGAAGAAGAGGGTCTGCAGTGAGCAGAAAGAGGGCCTTGTACACGCTGGTACGTAACACACACGGTGCAAGCCGGGCTGGCCTGCTGCACAGTCAGCTGTTCTACATCTCTCTGGAGCGATGATTTGAGTGGGTCTGGGTGCACCAGGCTGCCTGGAAGTGCTCTGGGATAGAGGGTCCCAGAAAAGCATCCCTGGATGGTGATAAAGCCATGATCTCTGCTAGCCAGAACACAGGCACTCTCTGTCACCTGGCTGGAGTTCATATCAAACCAAGGCTTGTGGACACCCAACAAAATGGTGTGACAATCCCTGCCAGTTCTCCACCTCCTGAGATGTGAAGAAACCCTGGAAAATGCAGATGAGCAGAACTCTGCACACATGTAAGAAATGCTGATTGAAAAGGCATCAGTGCTGGCTGAAAGGCATTTAATTGTTGGCTCCAGGCCTGTCCTTGGGGCAGGCAGATCTGGGCTGCGGCTGCCACACATGCCGTGGTTCCTCAAGGCTGTCTGGAGCATCAGCTGCTCATTTTCTCCCTCAAAACTCTCTGCCTGGCTTCCCCTCCACCTTTGATGGGGACACACATTTACCATATGGTGAAACCACGCCAGCACCCAGTGAAAGCACTCTGGAGACAGCCTGTGGTGCGGGAAACATCGCTCCCAACCCCACTGCTCCTGATCCCCCTCCCCTGGGCAGGCAAGGGGCTGGCAGAGCAGGGCCACATCCCTTGGCTGCAAACGACGCTCCTTGTTAGCGCTGTGCCGTTGTTTTGCAGCAGCCAAACGGCTCATTTGGCTCTCGCTGCCTGCTCCTCCATTAATCACCTGCTTGTTTGCAGCCCGGCAGCTTTGCCGATGCCACTGAGGAGACAGCACGGGCGCTGGAAAAATGGATCCAGTGGCATTTTATGTGCTGGCAGGAGCAGCAGCAGCTGGGAAATGAACACTCTGTGTGGTGCTGAGCTCTCCCAGCCCGCTGAGGCACCCACCCAGCCTCACTGCCAGAAATGGGGTCAGGGGACCAGTCCCACACTGAACTATGAGTAGGTGAGCACCCAAGAGGTAGGACGCTCTGCCAAATGCTCCTGGAACGTCACCCCTTGTGGAATTTGCAGGCAGCCTCGACAAGGGAAGAGATGAGAATCTCGACTCCACGTTTCAGAGGGCTGATTCATTATTTTGTGATATATATTATATTAAAAATGCTATACTGAAAGAAATAGAGAAAGGATATAGATAGAAGGCAAGAATGATAATAAAATCTTGTGACTGACCAGAGTATCGACACAGCTGGACCTGTGATTGGCCATTAAGTAAAAAACAATCTACACGAGACCAATCAAAGATGCACCTGTGTCGCAGACATCTTTCATGAAAAATCCTTTCCTTAGGATTTTTCCTGCTGAGAAGCTGGGAGGCCTCAGGAACAAAATGTAAACATTGATTATCTGCTGCTGTGGAATGCAACAGGTGGGGCTGTGATTGGTCCATGTTGGATGTTTGTAATTAATGGCCAATCACAGTTGGAGAGAGAGCCGAGCCACAAACCTTTGTTATCATTCTTGGCTATTCTCTTCTTAGCTAGCCTTCTGATGAAACCTTTTCTTCTATTCTTTTAGTATAGTTTTAATATAATATATATAATAAAATAATAAATCAAGCCTTCTGAAACATGGAGTCAGATCCTCGTCTCTTCCCTCATCCTAAGACCCCTGTGAACACCGTCACACACCTGTTGGTAAGCAACCTCCAAACCACATTCTGAGCAATCAGATAATTACTGTTTACATTTTGTTTCTGAGGCCTCCTAACTTCTCAGGAGAAAAAAATCTTGCCAAAGGGATTTTTCAGAAAATATTTCAGTGACGAGCCCCATCACCTCAGCAGGAAGGCGCTGCCCCCACACCCAAACCACGGCGCCCAGCTCACCTGTTTCCATTGAAGGTGGTTTTATAATCCCCGGGCGAGTGCAAGGTGTCCTCGGCGTAGACGGGCACGGGGGTCCGCACGCACTCGTGGGAGCACTGCAGCGTCTCGTTGTAGGCGGTGAAGATGTCGAGGGCGCTGGGCACGCGGGCGGGGGCGAAGTCCGTCAGGTTCTGGCAGCTCTCCTCCTGCTGGTCCAGCTTGCGTTGGTGGCTGTTGCGCCGGGGGCGCCCGCTCTGCGCACAGCTGGGGAGGGGAGAGAGAATTGGACAGTCATGGCATGGTCTGGGTTGGAAGGGACCTTAAAAACCCTCCAGTTCCATCCCCTTGCCATGGGCAGAGATGCCTTCCACTAGATTGGGTTGTTCAACCCTGTTCAGCCTGGCCTTAGATTCTTCCAGGGCCACAGCTTCTCTGGGCAGCCTGTGCTAGGTCCTTACCACCCTCATAAGGAAGAAGTTTCCCTTAAGATTTGATCTAAATCTTCCCTTTAGTTGAAAACCATTCCCCCTGTCCCATCCCACTGTCTGTCTGTGTGAAAACTTTCCCTCCATTATAAGTCTGTTATGGCCTGAAAGGCCAAAGCAGAAGGGACGGGAGGCACAGTGTATCCCTGAAACTTGGCAAGGGAACTCACCTGACTGACCAGATTGTTCCCTATTATATTAGAATTCAGAAATTCCAATTCCAATTCAGAATTGGAGAGATCAGCCACAAGCAGTCATTTGGCTCGGTGCTTTTTTATAAGAACCAAATTTACATTTTAGACACAAGCTCTTTCCCATCAGAGGAAAGACTTAATGAGTCACACTTTTGTACCTGCAGGAAGCAAAAGCCTTTTCTTAAGTGAAAATATGTAGGTGAGAACAATGAAGTGAAACCCTTTTCATTTGGGAGACACCAACAGGTTGGAACTTCTCAGCATAAATGAGCTCAGGACCTGGTGTGACACAGCAGAGGGATGGCTGGCAGGGCAGCCCTGCTCTCCGGGGGCTCCTCCAGCTCTGGAGGCTTCATGAGGATCTTGTGGCTGCACAACACTTCTGCCTCAGTACGTCAGAGACGAGGAGAACCCCAGCTCGCAGGAGCCGCCCTCAATCAGCCCGGTCCTATTTCAGGGTCTAGACACTGATTTAATTAAGATGCCACTTTTTCCAGAAGGGATTGACAGCGCCTTGCAGAACGCTGGAGTTTTGGGAGGTGGCAGCTCCGAGGGCGGTGAGAGCTGGGGATCAGTGGAGGGGCACTCCTGGGGACAGGAATGTGGGGCTCTGCTGGGAGCAGGGCTGGCCAGGGTGACAGCATCTGGCTGCTGGCTCTGCTCTGCTTGATGCAAGTGAAAGAGACAGCCCTAAACCAACTGCTGTCTCGCCACGGCACGTGTGCAGGAGGAGCAGTGGCAAGAAGGACGCTGGCTTGGCACGCAGCCATCACTCACCCATCCTGCTTGAAGGGGACAAATGCCAGCCAAAGGATGGGGACAGTGACTGTGTCCCTGATGGGGACAGGGCCAGAGCGTGTGGTGTGGGTCACTGAACGTAGCCTGAAATCACCCAATGAACCGAGGCAGTTTGGGTAGAGTTGAGCAAACTCCCAGGTACTGTTTCTTCTTCACCTTGGACACACCTGGGTGCTGCCCACACTCTCCTGCTGAGGATTTTCTCTGGTGATTTCTCAATTTCACTTACTGTAAAGCATTTCTATTCTACACTGATCACTGGATTTATTTTTTCCCCCCTTTTTGGCTCCAGCAGCAGTTACTGAGCTGTTCTGCCAAGCTGTGGTCAGCCGGATCAATGACTCGTACCGCTCACTGCTGCGACCGGAGACAAATCCCACAAGTGTTTCATAAACTATTCTCCCTGCTCCTTCACTGAAACACTGCAGCAACCAGGGAAGTTCAGTGAATTAAATCCCAGTCGAGACAAAGCAGGGAGCCTCACTGGCTGCTCCCCACAAGTTCAGCTGTGGGGACAGAACCTTGGTGCTTTCAGTCAGCTGCTGCTCAGCGTTATGGCTTTAGCAAGATGAAGATGCCTCCATAGCCCTGCAAAGGGCTTCTCCTCTCATCCCAGCCAGCCAGCAGGCTCCTCATCAACCTGGTGTTATAATTGCCTCCTGGCTGCAGAAATTGATTTGCTGCAGCACCCACGCAGAGCTTCGCCAGGCCGGAGGGGAGAGCCACCAGCCACGCTCCCCCCAGCCCCGTGCTGCAGCCATGTCGCTACGCCAGCAACGCTGACCTCAAAGTAGGCCAGATTCCCTGGGAAAATAGGTAAAGTGAGGAGTGCCTGGAGCGAAAGCTAACCTATTTTGCCATACGCCCAAGCCACACTGAGAGAACAAACCGGAGCAAATGAAGCTGGAGGAGCACAGCAGCGCCCTGGGCGTTGGGGCATGCTTCAAACCGTGGCACCTGAGGGGCTTCGAAGGTGCCCTTCCATCTCTGGGGTCACAGGGAAGGGCAGGAGGTGTAGCTGCTTCTTGCCAAGCCAGGCTGGGGATTTTAGGAGCAGCATCAAAGCACCTTAGGGAAGGGAGCAGAGGAGCGACTGGCACTGGACAGGTCCTGGGAACACCTGCTGTGCCCCAACACACGGCTCTGACCTCTCCAGGTGGCACTGTGCTGCGGCACGTGTCCCATGAGACTTGTCCACCCAGCCTGGGCACATGCTGGTCCCCAGAGCCACTGGCCAGGTGGTGTGAGGTGGAGAAACTGTGAGGACACAGCCAAACCCCGCTGCACCAACCTCCTTTGGAGGTTTTGCTGTAAAGCCCCCATTTTCTCCTGCAATCCTGGCAGGTGCCACAGGCTTTGACACCTGCAGCAGGATGGGCATCTCCATCCCCACCCTGTCCCCATCCCACGCCACCCCCCAAGCCAAGCAGAGCAGGAGGCACCTTACCAATTTTTTAAGACAAGGGTTGTTATCAGCGCAGCTATGACCATGATGAGGGACACTGTAATAGTGATTATCTGATGAACAGCCAGACCTGCAGACAGAATAAAAGAGACAGTGGGGATGGGAACTGAGGGGACCCTGGCAGAGCCCCCCCCATCCCCACACAGCCCCCCACCACCCCCTCCCAGCACGAGGCCACACACAGCCCCCGGCAGCGGCGCCGCAATCCTCTCTCCTGCCTTACACAAAATAAATCTGTAAGCCAGGCTCCTCATTTCCTATCCTCTCAAGTATGTTCCTTGTCAGCCCGAATTAGGCACGAAGAACGGAAGAGAAGTGAAGACGTCTCCCCTCTGGGACGGAAAGGGAGACGAGCACAGCCCTGCACCGGGTGCGGGATTCACCAGGGAGAATAATTACAGCGCTGGCGGCTGCTCGCCTCGCAGGTCGGGTGGGCTCATTTCCCCCTCTTCACCTTCCACGGGGTATCATTTTGGCTCGTGGATCATTCCTAATGAGCAGTTTGGAAACAAAAGCGGCTCGCTGTACACTATGTTTGTGATTTTGTGCTGCCTTACAGTTGCAATTTCGTAATGAAATGATTTTTCCTGGCTGCAGCCCAAGGATGTGCTATTTTTCACAAACAGATGTTGCAGCTCCTGATGGATGGTAGTTTTAATAAATAAATAAGTCCTAGAATGACAGGAAAATAAGCAGTTTTATATATATATCTGAATGTGTCTGTGGCAAGGACGGAGTCAGTGCCAGGGCCATGGCTCAGCTGCAGCTGGGGGTGGCTGGGGGAGCCAGGGGCAGCACTGGGGCAGCCTCTGCTCCTGGGGAAGGACTCACTCGCGGCCCCTGTGCTGGCAGGGTGGGCAGCAGCCAATTCCAGCTCACTCCTCAGCTGCTCCACCTCTGGGTTTCACCTCACAGGGAAAACGCCACACTTGGGAGGCTCCCCTCCTCCCAGTGGCGCCCCACCTGCTGAAGGTGAGGCCCAGAGGAAGACTTCTGAGTTCCCAGAGGGTGGTGGCGATGGGAGCATGTCCCCACAGCTCGTGGCAGGTCGGGAGTGACGCCCACCCGGGCAGCAGCCAGCCCGGCCGCATCCTGCACGGCAGCCTTGGAGCAGCTCCCAGTGGGACGCTGCTGGGAAAGATAAAAGGAAAGGCTCTAAAAATAAAATCAAACCAGCCCAGTGCCCGATTCCTTTGAAAACAGAAGCGGAGTCGGGGACGAGACCTTCTGCAATGCTGGGAGCTGAGGCAGCGGTGGCAGGGCCACGGGAGAACCTAACGATGCAATTAATCCTTGCATTTACGTAATGGGAAAGGCACAGGCAGAACAGATTGCAGGTGGCTGAGCACTGGGAAGGATGGCAGCTCCTTGGAGCAGGACACATGGATTTTAAGAAAGGCTGGATAATTTTAGACTCCATCACACACATAAGATGCCATATGTACCGGCACAGCAAAGTTCCTTTGCATCATGTATAGATTCTGCAGAAGCCAGGGGGGTTTGAAGGGGACAGGAGACCTTTGTCTCAATGCTGGTGATGGACAGAGGGAAGGCACCCAACAGGTGGTTCCCTGGGAAGCCCTATAGCAATGCCTGCTGCAATAAACACCACCAGGTCTTTATTCTTAATTTACAAACATATCAATTTATGAATATATCAAATATTTTATATTAGGCCCTCAAAGCATGTAGGGCCAAACGGAGCAAGATCAAGCAAATATCCAGTCTGTCAGAGGTGGGGTTAATGTGTGGGGCATCCTCTGAGAGGGAAATGTCCTGTAAAGGACATAAAGCACCCTGGTGGGTGAAGTGAGGTGGACAGAGATGCTGCCAAGGGCAAAGCAGTGCTTTAGATAAAGCCCAACGGGATGGAGGAACGGGACTTGGAAGATAAAATCAATAGCTCATGGGGCAAAATCCTCTTCCTCCAGTGTAGGAAACTCCCCATGAGAGTCTGTGCCCCCAGCGAGAGACCCCGGGAGCAGGGATTACAGCGCCTGGGCTTTGTTTGCTCATCTCCTTGGCAAAAGCTCCGATCCCAGCGGGTCACGGAGCCCCGTGGCCGTGTAATTACGCGTTATTAACCGTGGAAACAGGGAGCTGCAGCGGGGAGGGACACCCAGCCCCGGCCCCTCTCACCTGCAAACGCCTCAGCCCTGCGAGGGCTCCCCCTGCCAAGGCTTTTACCAGGCAATTTGACGCAGTGACCATTTAACTGGAGGGTAATTACAGGAGAAGTATTTAATGGAGCCGAAAGTGTGTCCAAGCCTCTCTGCGCTTCTGCTAGTGCAGCAGAATTCCGCACGCCGCCTGCCAGGAGGGAAAGCTCTTCAAAGGCGCTCTCTGAACCCTCGGAAATGCTGAAATATCTCTGGGTTTTTCCACTCTCGTGCCGTCCGCTCTCACTGGGGCCTCTAAATCCCCAAGGTGGGGTGGGAGAGGGGCCACAGAATCCCCAGCAAGGCAGCACAACCCAGCTCCAGATTCCCCACATCCCGGGCAAAACCCCAATCTTCTCAGAGCAAGGCAATGCCAGGGCTTGCTTCTTTTTTTTTTTTAATCTGTTATTTTAAAGACCATATATTTGCTGCTGAGATGAAAGTGCTGAGGTTTGGCCTTTCTGGCCACCTTTTGAAACGGCTCCCGGACAGCTCTGCATCAATGGAATTAATTCCATGAGAAAAATCCATTCGAGACTAATGTCTTGCTACTGCAGGAGCACGCCATGGCAGCGAACAGGAGATATAAGCTCTTAATTAAAAACAAAGAGAACCTCTATCCCCCAAGGCCTTTATTTCAACAGCTCTGGTTAGGGAGCCTGTATTTTTCATTTTCCCAATAAAAACAGCTACGAGCTGCAACTCTTTGAAGACCCTTGTCAAGGCCTTGAAGCTGCATAAAATTAGAAAAAGGAGAAAACAGCTCTATTTCATTTGAAAGGGAGAAAACTGGAGTTACTCTTACAGGCCAGATATTGCTACCCCCAGTCTCTTCCCACACTTGTGCTGTGTGGATCTCCCTCTCCTCAGCATCCCATCCTCAGCCCTGCCATGAGTCCCCTTCCTCTGTTCTCACATGTCCTGGGCACCAGGATGCCAATGCCTCCTCCTGAGCATTGTGGAGAAGCTGGGACAAAGCTGCTGGACTCAAGAGGCTTTACAGCTTCCCCAGCCATCAGAAATCACATCTGAGCCCCAAAAACCTCATGCCCTGATAAAGCTGCTTGCGGACAGAACAATTCAATCAGGAGCGTGGTGTGGCCTCCCTGCTGCCACCGCCGGCCTTTCCCAGGGGGGATCAGCCAGATTTGGCCGTAACATGAACCTACTGCTGGTTAATAGCTTGTAAGGAAAATCATTTACAAAAGCCACAAGGGTCTGATACAGGGGTGGAGACACAGCAGAAATCTTCTTGAAAAGCCTTGTCACAGTACACAGCCAGTTCCTCTGCTGCCCAATCCACCATGTCACAATTGGCTCTGCTCTTCCCAACACCTTCTTGCTGGCAAAGCTGAGGTCAGCAAAGCAGCTTGGTTTTTCACCTGGTAAATCAGTGATCTCTCTGAAACCCAGCCCAGGGAGTGTTAGACATCCTGAGGTGAAAACGCAGCTTCTCAGCAAAAAAACCACCAAGGCTCCTGGCAACTTCCTGGTATTTTGAGCTGGACTGATGAAAGAAAGAAAATATCTTCCCGCCACTGCTGCTGCTGCAAAATGTTTTTGCCAAGAAGGAAAATCCTGGAGGTTTATGCTAAAGACACTGGGACTTATCTTCTCAGGTGTTACAGCAAATATCACCGAGCAATAAATACTTGGAGAGCAGCAGAGGGGAGTTTCTGGCTCAGTGAGAGGCACGTGGGAGGATGTGCACAGGCACGTTCGCCATCCGCGCATCCCCGGAGTGTCCCCACTCCCTTGTAGGGAGAGCTCAGCTGATGCCACCTCCTTTCTGGCTTCCACCACCATCCTCCACCCTTCAGGAAAGCTGCAGCTATGCATGGCCCTACAAGGGATCCTTTGGGCAAGCTCCCAGGATGGGTAATCATAGTGCCAGCCCAGGAGACACCATCCAGCTCCTTCACCTCCTCTCTCCGTCCCCGAGCTGCGGCACCACCCCACGCCTCGGCACGGTGGATCAAAGAGGCAGCTCCATCCTCGCTGCCCAGCGTTTTTTCTTTTAAACACATTTTATCTTTAATTAATTCCTTTGAAGCTTTTTGCATCTACTATCTCCTTGCCTCCAGCAACCCCCTACTGCACCCTCTTTCTGGAGGCAGGGTCATCACCAGCGGGAAGCAATGCCTCTGTTATTATTTATTCCTGACACACTGCTGGCTGGACGTGGGGAGGGGTGGCCTGGGGCCACCACCAGCTCAGATCCAGCTGCCAACACCCACATGGCCCCCGCATTCCCCCAGGTGAACCCCAGTCCTGGTGAAGGGGTGTCCCTGAGCACCAGCTCTGCCACAAGCTCACAGACTGCGGTGCCAAACGCGCCGCGACCGGTCATCAAATACCACTAAGAGCAGCAGACAGCACATGGAGTTTTCTGCCTTATAAAGCACTTAAAGGTTTAATTAAAGGCGGCTTTATCCTAAAGCTCCTGAAAGGAGGCTCAGACAAACCAGCGAGTGCAATTCCTGCCTCGCGCTGACAGCTCTGATTCATTCCACTCTTCCCTGCTTTGGCTGAGGCTGCGGGACCCGGGGATGCTCTGCCTTGCTGGAGGAGCCCAGCCCACGTGGAGAGTGCCCGGTGAACGCTCCTCACAGCCCTTCCCACTTGCAGCATGCTGGAATTTTAATTATTCCCCTCTTTCCCTGCTCCAGAGTAAAACGATTGTGACAGCCCTGAAGAAGGAAGCACATTTTTGAAAAGCACAAGCATAAACTATGCCTGGGTGAACATCCTGCACGCCCAGCTGATGCCAGCAGTGCTGTGCTGCGCGGCAGGGGTGGCACGGGGACAGGAACACCTGAGCCACAGGTCACCTGAACCCCCACAGCAGCACCCACAGGGCCAGCACACGCACCTGCCTCTGCTCTCATCCCAAGCATTACCTGCCATCACTCCTCTGCTGCCTCTCCTGCCTATGAGATGAGTGATTCCTATTCCAGGGGAATTTTTTTAAGCTTGTTTTTGCTGTCAGCGACTCACGGAGGCATTGTTTCTGGCTTTTTTCTCTCGCTCCTCAGCGAGGAGGAAGGGGGGCGAGAGGATGATCTGACAGAGCAGAGCTGCTCCCATTGCTCACCTCAGCGAGCACCGCTGCCTCTGCTGAAGTGAAGTGGGTCTTTTTTACCACCTTGTGTGCACCCCAAGGACCCCATGGTCCCGCACAACCACCATGGACCCAGAGGCAAAGCACAGAGGGATACAAGGATGCAGAACAAGAGGGATATGGGGGCAGCAGCACAACAGCAGCCACCTGCTCTGATGGAATTAAATGTGGGGGATCTGCGTGGCTCCAGGAGCCTTGGGACAGCTCTGCCAGCCCTGTGGGTGCCACACACAGGTGGTTCCACCCTGACCACCCTCCCCATGTGCTGGGGACAGCTGAGGGACCACAGGCAGCGAGAGCAGCACCGCACCCACCGCGGGCTCCCGTCAAGGCGCCTCACCAGGCAGGGACTGGCAATGCTCGCTGAGGCAAATAAACCGAACAGGCGAGTTACCTCATCCTCATTTGTAGCCATATGTTTTTCCCAGCAGAGAACAAACACTTCCAGCCGCTACAGCTTATATAACAGAGCGGAGCAGGGCTGGGAAGCTGCGCGGCTTCGCACAGGAGCCGCACCAGCAAAACTGGCACGGACCCTGCTTTGAGACAGAGCCGGCTGCTCGCTCCCAAAACGCTGTCCCGAGGCATAGCAGGGGCATGGAGCTCCCACTGGGAGCATACTGAGAGCTCTCCTGGGTGCTCAGCCCCAGCACTGGAAGGAAAAGCGGATCTGGACCTCAGGAGCTTTTCAAGTGAGGGTGGATGAGCTGGGATCAAACAGGGCCTTTAGACCCGGGAAGAAGTTTATCACATTCACTGCTTGAAGAGAAGTTAATTAGCAAAAACTCCGATCATGGAGAAAGCCCCTAATGAGAGCTAAAGCCTGCAGATTAAAGCAGCTGGCCCCCTGGGAGCTGCTGGGGCTGCAGCTCCCTTTGTTCTGCAGGACAGCAGTGGTGGCACTGGCAAGTGGGTGGCATCACTGCCAGCTCAACTTCGCCTAAACAAGGCAGCCCACTCCAGTGAGTCCCAGAGCCCCAGCACATGCCAGGAGCCATCCTCCCACAGCTGGTGCAGGCAGAGGGGCTCCTGCAGCTGGCTGATGGCAACAAGCCCACTGGACCTCACCCTCCTGGACTGGATGATGCCACTGAGGCCAGAGGGACTGACCCCAGTGGGGGGAGACCAGGCTGATGCTCTCATCATGCAGAGAGCAGCAAAAGCCCCAGCCCTTATCAATACTCCCTCGCTGATCTACCCAGCCCATTTCAGCGTTTTGTAAAAGGTGTGTAGGCTGGGAGTTATTTTTCGGCTATAAATAACCCCTTTAAGTCAGGAACAACATCCTGGTTGCATCGTCTCTTTTTGCCAAGCGGGGCAGGCTGGATAAATTAATTGGGATTAAGATTAGGCCGTAAAATTCCTTTTCATTTCGACTAGAAAATCGCAGTGGGCTCAAAGCAGTCGATGCACAGTGAGTAAATTCTGTAAACTATCCACCGGTATCCCACGGTTTAATATCAGCAATAACAAATATAATTTGCAATAAATGGGAAGCAGCTTTCCCATCCATGTCCACGCAGCAGCCGGCGCCGGGGGAAGGCATTGCTGTGCCGAGCGTGATGCTCAGCGCGATTACGGGGAGATGGGCTGTGGATGGAGACTGTAATGGGAAAACACAGCGAGCGGCTGGAAAACGCCTCGGATAAAAGCGATAATCAGCGCCGAGCGCCTGTTTAATGTCACACTAACTCCTGTCCCGGGCAGCGCTGCCACGGGGACGCTTGTGAACCCTCCTGATGTCCCCAACACCTCGCTGTCCCCCTACCTGTGCTGTCTCCCAGCCCACGCGGCGGGCGAGCATCCTTCCCCCCGCTGCTGTGCCCTGCGGCCGGCTCGGCGGTGCTGCTGCGCCCGGGGCCGCTGCGGGACCCGTCCCCGCCGGGCACCGGAGCCGCAGTGCTGGGGGGCACCCGGGGCGGCGTGGCGGCCGTGACAGAGGTGACAGCGGCGGCGGCAGTGCTGGCGGAGGTGGTGGCAGCGGCGGCGGCGGCGGCGGTGGTGGTGGTGGTGGCGAAGGCGCTGGGCAGCGTGCTGCTCTCCAGGGAGTCCTCCTCGCCCGTGGGGCCCCACACGATGACCTCGGGCAGCGCCGTGGGTCTCCCGTCCCGCGGGGCGAAGCCGCGGCCGCGGAGATGCCGCCGGCCCCTCCGGGAGCGCGGGCGGCGCACGGGGCGGGCGGCGGGCGCGGCGGCGGCGGGGGGGGGCGGCCGGCGGGAGCGGGGTCGCGGCACGGGGGGAGCGGGGCCGCAGGTCCAGGCGGGGCCGGGGCGGTGCAGCTCCTCCGTGCCCGCCGTGCCCCAGAGCGAGCCGCGGGACAGTCTGTGCCGGAGCGCCGGCCGCGCCGAGAGCTTCGCGCCGGGGCCGGCGGCTGCTGCGGGCTGGCAGCTGGCAAGGTCCATGGCTAGGTGGAACATGGCTATTAGAATCCAAGCATGGCTTCCGAGCGGGCAAGCTGACCTGTGGATAGATAGGGATTGTGTTAGAAGGGCAGTGGGGTAACCCTGCTCTCCCTCTCAGTGTCACACTATATCTCTGAGCCCAGCCATCCAAAACATCCCCCAGATACACGGGTGTCATTGTCCTCCCTGGTTCTCCAGCCAGAGGTCCCCAAAACGGCATCATAGGCATGCAGCACCCCATCCCCCTGAAAACTACTACCACCAACATGACAGACTGAGGATCCCCATTCATAATTGTGACTTTTCACTTGGTCTGGGGATGATGGGAATGACCTGAGGATGGATTTTACCAGGAAACACTCTAGAGGAGCAGCCAGTGCCTGCTTTGCCCAAACTCAGTCCTGTTGGGTGAATTATCCAAAGCAGACGGGCCAGGACAGCTCAAGCAGCACAAGCTTTCACTCCAGGGACACTGAGATGCAGAGGTACCAGAGAACCCATCCTTTGCTTCCCAATCCCACAGGCAGCATGATGAATCCCTCAAAGGGCTGGAGCAGACGAGTCCGTGGGCTCTGGTGCTTGCACGTGTGGCCCATCTCCCACTGTGGCAATCACCCACACTGCAGCAGGAACATCCTCCCACGGCACATCCCCTCCCACAGCGTGGAGCACCCAGGCTGAACATGACCCTGCAGGAGGAGCAGCCCTTTCTGCTGCCCTTTCTGCCACAGAGCAGCTGGAACACCCCTGAGCTGCTGGCAGCTTCAGCAGTTGGAATTTTGCTTTCATGTCACCGTCACATCACGTCATGTCACAGCCCTCTCCATTCCCCAGTGACAGCACACTGAGGCTCTGCTCCCCTCATGTCTCCTCAGTGATGCTCCCCCACATAAATCAGCAAGAAAATCTCTGCTAGGCAAATTTCTGTTGCCTTCTTCCCATCCTACCCCCCTGGAAAGAAAAAAAATCGTTAGGCCAAAACCCAAAAATCTTTACTCCATTTTACTTCGCTTTTACAGGAGAAAGACTTTTGTCGAACTCAGCAGGAGTTAATGAGAGCTTTACATGGCTAAACGGGCTAATCCTCTGCAGCAGCGCCCGCACAGTCCTTGGGAGCACGACAGAATGTGCATCTGGTTGACAGAAGCATTTGTACACTCCCTCTGTGCGTGAGCAAGCGAAGCTAAAGGAGCTGACCTGGATACTCCCAGGCACAAGCTTTTTCTGCTCAGAGGATCTCTGCTTTTTTCCTAATTGGGTATTTTTTCAAAGCGTAACAACATTTATTTTGGGGAGGGAGAAGGCAACGCAAGGAAAGAGCGCAGAAGGAGAAAGGGAAGAGCCAGAAACAGACAACAGGAACCAAAATAGTTCAGGCTGGGGGAGGAAGGATTTCAAGGCTTCAAAAAAACCACAAACCACCCAAACCGTGGTGGTGGTGGTGGGTTTTTTTGGAGGACGACAGAGTGGTGGCAGCACGAAGAGTGTCCCCCACGTGCTGCAGGCAGTGCTTCCACTGGTGAGGAGCCACAAGCTCATGCTCCAGCAGGATCATCCAGCACAGACTCACCTTTGCAATGCTCAGGATCACTCCTGTAGCATGTCAGGCTTGATTTCAGCCTCTGCCCAGCTCCCCAGCATCACCTGAAATGTCTCCTTGCAAGGAAGGAAAGGTGCTGGGCACCTCCTGACATGGCACTCACTCCAGGTGCCACCTCTCACACCATCTGTGCCCACCCCCAGATCTCATCCCCTTCCCAGCTCTCTGTGTTGCTCACACTCAGAACTTTTATGAACAGCTGCTGAACAGAGCCAGGGAAGATGTGCCCAGCCCAAACCTGGAGCTCACTGCATCCCAGCCATTGCCTGGAAACTTCTGAAAGACAAAATGCCAGTACTTGCTGCTTGGGATTGGCAGCACATAGGAAAAACAGATATTTCCATCTCCTCCTGTCTCCTTGTGACAATTCAGGCAGAGTGAACTTGCAGGGGCTTGCTTCTGCAGAGCCTGCCCGACACAGCTGCATCATTCACAGCAGCATCAGGAGATGTGTGGGCAGAGGCAACACCCAACCCTTACCTTGCCCTGGGCCATGCTGGAAATTTGTGTCCCAGCATGGCCAGGCAGTGCTGGTGACACCCAGGACACCAGTGTCCCTCACTGCTGCCCAGGTCACAGGCTCTGGCATGGGGATGGACACAGCAAGGGACACCCAGATGGGGCAGATCCCACTCTGTCCCAAGGACAGCTTGGGTCACCCTCCCACCAACGTCCCATCAAGCAAGGGGCTGTCACCCCAGGAGTGCCCTCCTTGCCACCACACCAGCTGGCACGTCCCCAGGAGATGGCTTCAGCGACAGCAGCAGCCAGTCCGGTTACCTCGGAGGAATTTTGTGTGGCATGCGATCTTCTGAGGGCTTTGCAACAACAGATAAGAGCAAGTGTCCTTCAGAATAAATAGCAGCGTGTAGGAGTTGCCGTTGTCCTGGCAACGCAGCGTGATGCGCCCGGCGCGGCGGCGGCAGCGGGGATGGATGCGGCAGCGTGGCGCGGCCAGAGGCAGGACCACCCTGCCCTCCCCTGCCTCCCGCGCCCCCTCCCCACGCCACCACCCTGCCAGGGCCGGCAGAGCGAGCGACACGTCCCGAAGGACACCCACGGAGCGAGGATAACGCACCGCGAGGAGCGCGCATATCGGAGCGAGGACACATCCCGCCCGCATCTCCTGCCACCACCTTGTCCTTGCCCCAGAAAAACCTGGGCTGTCCCAGGAGAGCCCGCTGCGGCTGGCACAGCACGGCCCGGCCCGGCACAGCGCCCCGGGAGTCCCCATGCTGCCGGCAGGACAGGCAGGAGGAGAGCATCGCTCGCCTCTCGGGAGCGCCCGCACAAAGTCACCGCTGCTCGGAGGCCGGGAGGGCGTTCCTGCTCTGCCGAGACATCAAACGGCTCAAACACCTCTCCAACGGCACCAGCTGCTCCTCAGGGACAGCAGAGGACCCTGACCTGCTCACAGCGCATGGGAAAACTCCCTAAGTGCACCCAGAGAGGGGCTGGGGCATAGGGAAGGGAACACATCATCCAGACCCACACACAGCATCCATCTGCCTCGGAGCCACCCCTGGCTGGAGGTACATGTAGACCCGAGGGATGTATGGAGCAGGGCTGTGGTTACACTCCTCACTCAGGAATCAGGGCTTTCCTCACCCCCCTACAAGCACACACAACCCATTTTGCAAAGAAATTTGAGGAGCGTGGGCAATTTTCACATTCCTTCTTTTCCCATCTTGGAGGTGAATGGGAATGTTATCCCAAAATACTGCTGGAACTCCAGGAAAAACTCAATAAAACTCTGAAACTGGGTTAGATAAAGGAACACGGAGTGGATATATTTGAGAAAATGAAATCCTGTCCTTGATCTCCTCATCCAAGGCCTTGTCACAAATCCACTTCCCTGGCTCCATGGATGGTGAGGTGGCCACACTCACACACAGAAAATGAAACTCCTACAAATATTTACCTGCAACAAGCATGAGAGCAGATTTCAAGGAAACTGCTGGGCTAATGGCATGGATCAGGCACTCCAGGACTATTTCCTGAGCCAATCCAAGCCCATCCCCGTTCCAAAGTGATGGAACTGAATGTTGCACTGGAGCCACCACAGCCTCCCCACCCAACGCACCTTTCAGAGCCCTCCCCTGTATGAAACCCTTTCCTGAATCTTTCCAGGTGCAGCTGAGTGCTTTGAAGAGGAGGACAGTTGATGTGAAAGAGATTAATTTCAAGGGTGCTGGAGGATCTGAGCTCACCATGGTCCTCAGCAGTGGGGAAGAGGCTGCTGTGGAACTTGGCATTACTGTGCCTTGGTACCAACCTCCATGTGCAGGGAGGGAATGGAGCAGCATCCAGCATGGAGTGGGACAGAACAACCCCTGCCCCAAGCTTGGGAACCCTCAGGGGTGGCAGCATCTCAGGCAGCCCTGATACTGCAGACAGGACATGGATTAATGCAGTGCACCCGCTGTGCTCCCAGAACCCCCCGGCTCTGGTAATGTGTCTGAAAATTAGCTGGGATCACGGCTCTGACAAACATCAAAACGCCACCCGTCAGCACTAACCCACTTCCCCAAAGCCTCAAAGGCTCACTTGAGTGCAGTCCCTTTCATAAGGTCCTTTTTTGCTCTCCAGCATCAGCCCCTTTCTCCCGTGCCTGTGGAGACACTTCACAGGAGCATTAACTGTAGAATAGGCTGATTTTTAATGCAGAATTATACAAATGGAGCCATTCTTCCATTTCATGCCTCCTGTTAGGTAATCTATCGGTATTGCACAGGGAATCAAGGTTATGTCCTTGTTGAGGTGATTTACGAACTCTGAGCATTTCATATCTCCAAACACCAAGCGAGGCAGGGACAGAAATATTCCTGTGAATGCCTGGAGCAGGAGCTGTGGTCAGAGAGTTGGGGTGATGTTTCCTTGACCCAGGCAAGACAAAGCAGGAAAGCAGGCACCACGCTCTAGGAAAAGCATCCTTGGCAGCGCGGCTGCGTGTCCTACAAAGGCATCGGGAGCAGGGCAGGTTATGAGAGTACATGCAGGAACTCAGCGGCTCCACACGGAATAGAACGAGGCCGCTGCATCCCAGTGGGTGACTTTCACACTGGAGCAGGAGGAAGAGGGGAAAACTTCAGTGGCAGATACTTGGCCCGCGACTGTGTGTCCTCGCTGAGGTGGGAACTGCAGCCACCGCTGCAGCAGCTCTCCTCTCCATCCCGCTGTCCTGTGTGATGATCCCTGCAGTGCAGAGACTGTCCTTTGTTGTCACACCACCAACCATCACCATGGAAATGGAGCATTGCCATTCTGCACTCTGGGCTGGGCCGGGACTCTCCGCAGGGCTGGGAGGAGGGGAGGTGCAACCATCCCATGGATGAGTGCCAAAAGCCATGTGGCGAGTTACGACACAGGATTGTTGTGGTGTGATGTAATAGCCTGTCTCAGTATCCCAGTTCCTTCCCCAGGTGTGCCAATAACCTCTCCCTTTCCCTTCCTTGCCC